ATATTTTTTAAATATTATTTTTTTCAATCTAGCAAAATTCATCTATGTTCTTTTTCTCTCATTGTCACAGGGTGGGATAGTCAGGGACAAGGATTATAGAGAAAAAAAGAAAAAGGATACAGATGAATTTGATTAGATTGAAAAAATATTCTTTCAAAATATATTCTTATTATTTTTATATATGTGCATCTAGAGTGATGGGAATTTTTTTTTCGAACACGTTCAGCATATTGTGGCCGTGTTCATCATTGGCTTTTTCTTTTTTTTTTATTAATCCTTCCACCATTATTTTTAGCCGTTGTGCATATTGGTGAAACTATTATGGTCGTATTTGCAACGGGTGTGTTGCGGAAAGTGTTTGATAGGTTTCCCAAATTTGCTGGCCAAATACACAATTATATATATTGTCTCGGGAGGGGGCGTCATAATTATTGATGTTATGGGTAAAATATATTGATATATTTAAGTTTCTCAAATGAAAAGCTCATCATTTTAAAGTCTTAAGAAAATAAGTTATATAAATGCTATCATGTTTGACGGTAGAGGTGAGCTGGTATTAATATAAGATGGTAGTGAGCAAGTTGACTTGTCGATCCTATTCCTTTTACGGATCAAACCACAGCCGATGATCTCCACGTCTCGCCTTGGTCACGGATATGTGGTCGTTGATTCCGTCGATGGTCGGAGGGAACTCACCGCCCTAAGTGTTGACTTTAGTCTAGGAAGCCCTTCCGCCTAGCGATACCGTGTCATTACTGCAGGGTCTATAGAAACCAGACTACGCCAGTGTTCTAGATAACCGTTGACCCTACAACGCCCATTGACAGTTCTTTTTTTTAAACCCTGATAGGTATCGAGCCACTTTCCTTACCAGAAATGTCTGGTGGGGCGAACGGGTTTAGTCGACGATGATCATGCGACAAGGCTACCTGCGATAGGTTACAGGGTTATATGGTCACCAGCGGCACTCGTTGGACTGACACAAACCGGAAACAACTCACAACTGATAAACGACAGAGAGTGTACCGGTCAAAATATAAATGGAATAATAATAATAATAATAATAATAGCTGAAAAACTATGTTAGTCCTAAATGCAAATTTTGTGATAAATATCCAGAAACAATTAACTACCTTGTATCAAGTTGCACTGTGTTGTCACATACTGAATATAACACCCAACATGAAACAGTGAGCCAATATCTGCACTGAAAAATCTGCAACTTATATGGAAAGGAAACTGCAAGAAATTGGTATGAACACCACCCAGACCCGGTTACGGAGATCGGGCCTGTAATAATTTTATACACACAGACAGAACCGTCAAAGCTAATTGCCTAGACATCGTGTTGACTTCAATGTTCACTTTTATATTTATATTTACATACGCTCTATCTCTGTTATTGAGCACTTTATCCCATAAATATAGCACACCTTAAAACTATATTTCTTCATATATATATATATATATATATGTGTGTGTGTGTGTGTGTGTGTGTGTGTGTGATATGGCATAACGATATATAATTTTATATATCAAGAAATGGAGAGAAAAAGAAAAAGAATACAGATGAATTTGATTAGATTGAAAAAATATTCTTTCAAAAAATATTCTTATTATTTTTATATATGTGCATCTAGAGTGATGGGAATTTTTTTCGAACACGTTCAGCATTTTGTGGCCGTGTTCATCTTATTGAATGTTGGCTTTTTCTTTTTTATTATTAATCCTTATTTTTAGCCGTTGTACATATTGGTGAAACTATTATGGTCGTATTTGCAACGGGTATGTTGCGGAAAGTGTTTGATAGGTTTCTCAAATTTTCTGGCCAAATACACACAGACTGCAAAAACAAAAAGTATCTCCTTATTGATATGGCAGTCCCTATAAAACATAATGTATCTTTGATGATCTTCAAAAAACTATCAATATACAAGGACCTTGAAGTCGAAATCTCAAAAATGTGGCACATGAGAACGACTACAACTCCAGTTATAGTTGTATGATTGAAAAAAATGTTCTAATAGACTCATTGAAGGGATTCCTGGTAGACCATGCCTTAAAAAAGTAGAGCCTACAACTTACTAAATGTTTTATCTATGTAAAATATGTATGATCTTAGGTGTGTGTTTTTCCCCAAAAAATGCTCTGAGGAAAATGCCATGATGCCATTTCTGATTTTAGGTCTCTGGTTGGGACCCGGAAAGAAATGACTATACACCAGAAATCTAATTAAATCAAATAATAATATTGATTGGCCATCTTTCATCAGGTTGCACGGTATTAGCATCCACTGAATATAAAACTCGGCATGATAGGGTAGGCCAATCTTTCCACTCGAAGATCTGCAACTTTTATCTGCGGAAAAAAAAAAAAAAAAAAAAAAAAATTGGTATGAACACCATCCGGACCCAGTTACAGAGACATGACCTATAACAGTTAGACATTTTATGACGGTCGTCTTCGAGTATAGAATCCAGAGGTTAGCAGTGAATATTTCGGAGACAGTAGGAAAGCGTAGTTCAGGTTAGCAGTGGATATCGCAGCAAAGTACTTCCTTCTGTCATCTTCGCCTGACAAGTTGGCACTGGTCATTCGGGTAGGGTAAACAAAAATGGCCGCCTTTATACACGACGGATAGAATGTTCTACGTCTTCTGATTGGTTAATCTTCTATTGGTAGACTATAAAGGGAGTTAAGTCATTTGGATTGGCTCACTAGTTACATATACACAAAAAACTGTAACAATGAACACCACCCGGACCCAGTTACACAGACATGACCTATAACAGTTTTATGGGACTTTACAATACACACAGACAGAAATCAAATCCAATCACACAGACTAATCAAAGACCACAAAAATAGAATATGCTTTCTTATTGACATGGCAGTCCCCACAAATGGTAAAGTTTCTTTGAAGATTTTAAAAATCTATCAAGGTATATAGATCTTGAAGTGAAAGTTTAAAAAGTGTGGATATCACATAGGACATCAATAATTTCAGTTGTAGTTGGAGCCCTCGGGTTGATTGGAAACGGTTCCGATAAATTGAAGGGATTCCCCGTAGCCCATGCCTCAAAGAAATATAAAAAAATTGTACTCACGAGTAAAGTTAACACATTACAAATTACTTCATCCATGTAGAATATGGGTGATCTCAGTTTCTTTGTTTTTTGTTTTGTTTTAGAAAAATGTTGTGTGGAAAATGTCATGAAACCATTTCTGACATTATGTCTCCGTTTGGGACCCGGAAGGAAATGTGTATACAACAGAAATCAAAGATGATTGATAATAATAATAATAAGAAGACAATGTCTGCACTAGAAAATTTGTAAACTTTTTCTGCAAGAAATTTGTATGAACACCACTCAGCCATGATTACACATATGCGACATGTAACAACTTTATAGGATTTTTACACACAGAATAACTAGAGCTAATCTACCAGACATCGTGATCAAAGACTACAAAAACAGAATGTGCTTTCTTATTGACATAACTGTAAACTGTAATGTATCTTTGAAGATCTTTGAAAAAAATACAAAGATCTTGAAGCAGAAATCTCAAAAATGTGTCACATGATGGCATCAATAATTCCAGTTGTGGTTAGGGCCCTGGATTTCATTGAATGAATTTCCTCGTAGCTCATGCCTTTAAGAAATACAAAACATTGTTCTCACAAGTACAACTCACACTTTACGAAGGGCTTTATCAGTGTAAAATATGTGTTCTCTTAAGTTGTTTTATATTTATTTTTTTATAAAAATGTTCATTGATGCTATTTCTGACCTTAGGTCTCTGGTTGGGAAGGAAATGAGTATACAACAGAAATCAAACAACAACAACAACAACAATAATAATAATAATAATAATAATAATGAGCTAGCCAAAAATGAATATAACCACACACATAAGAAGGTAGCGACATATGTGCATTGGAAGATATGCAAGAAGCACAAAATCGAAACCATTGAGAGATGGTATGAGCACCAACCAGAAACAGTTAGCCAAAATAACGATGTAACTATCCTCTGGGACATGGCAATTCAAAATGACGGGGAAATAAAAGACAACAGACCTGATATTATCATAAAAGGCAGTAAATTTCAAGAAGTGTATGCTTATTGACATAGCAATGCCATCTGAGAGAAACTCCTCCATGAAAATTATTGAGAAATTTTCCAAATACAAGGACCTGGAGATCGAGATTAACAGGATGTCAGGAATGAAGTCTGAGGCTGTACCTATAGTAATCGGAGTTCTGGGCCTTGTAAGAAAAGGAATGGATAATTTTATTAACATTATCCCAGGTAACAACAACATACAAATGCCAAGAAGACCACTAGGAACATTTCATATACTAAGAAAACTACAATGAATTAAATGACAATTCTCCTATAGGGCCTAAGGACCAAAGTTTGGACCCGTCTCTACAGGATACAAAGCAGGAAACATAACATGCACAAATAATAATAATAATAATAATAATAATAATACAAGGATCTTGAAATGAAAATCTCAAAAATGTGGCATATGGGAACATCAACAATCCCTGTTGTAGTTGGAGCCCTAGGACTGGTTGGAAAAGATTCCAGTAGAATAATTGAAGGGATTCCTGGAAGCTCATGCTTTAAAGAAATACAAAAAAATGTTCTCACAAGTACAGCCCACACCTTACAAAGGGCTTTATCCATGTAATTTAATTTTTTTTTTGTCAGTGGAAAGTGTCATGACGCCATTTCTAACCTTAGGTCTCTGGGCGGGACCCGGAAAGAAATGTGTAAACGCCAGAAATCAAAGAAAATAATAATAATAATAATAATAGTACTAGGTATCCATTTATCTCCTGGGATAATGGTAGCTCCCTCTTTGGTCAAACATTCAACTTTTTTGCGAGCAGCGGTTGGAATAATAATAATAATAATAATAATAATAATAATAATAATAATAACACTCGTCTCAGAATTTCCAAGAAAAAATTAGATATGGATGTAGGCATGTATTTATCTATCTCATGTCTAGTCTATTCATATCTATGTTTATTTATATCTTTCTTTTTCTACGTATCTTTTTATGTCTGTCCATATCTGTCTAGGTTAACCAATCGCTTCATATATTTCTCGATAGATCAGTCTTATCTATCTATCTATCATCTATCTATCTATCTATCTATCTATCTATCTATCTATCTCAGTCTTTCCATATCTATATCTCTATTGAGTGGCTCTTGGGCCTTATGTTGGGTGAAAAATAGTAAAAAAAAGGATATTTTTTACTTTTAATAATTCCATGTCATTTCAGGGCGTAGGCGATCGTGTCTCTCCACAGTTTCCGCTCTTTATTATCTCTGAATTTCCATACATTCTTTGGAAATATAATGCTGTTCTTTCCCATTGCCTTCTCTACAGTTTTGGATTCCGAATTGTACCTCTCCTATACCGGTTATCACCCAAGGGTACCTAATCTAGTCGTATCTGCTATTAATTTTTCGGAGTTGCGGAGAAGAAATGGAGTCACGACTTTTCCCAGATTAGTAGTACAAAAAAAAAAAAAATGAATACGACAGACTAGACTGGAATTTGAACTTGGCTTTCCGGTTCCACTTTCGTCACGATACCTGCACGCCCAACAATGGGAGTGAAAATTGAATCGAAGAAATTGAATGCAGCAAGGATATGTTTAGAACTTCTGTCCAGAAGCAGCTCCACATATCGATGTTTGTTAGTCTAAGTAGCAAGATTGCATCCATCGCCGGTTTGCTAGGCCTGTCGCGAAACCTCCAGCACCTGGTGATCCCCAGTGGTCACCCATCTGAGTATTGACCACGCTCAATTTTGCTTAACTCCGGTGATCAGATGACAACTGCTGGTTCAACGTGATTTAGCCGAAAGCAAGAATAATAATAAGAAAAAAAAAAAAAAAAAAAAAAAAAAAGATGGAAGAGGCGATAACGCTGTCAAACGGTTAACGTCTGCTTCAGTGAAATTTAACACTTTGTCAGTTTTTAATCTTTTCATTTGTACCCTCTCACTTCTTTAAATAATGACCTACATTAATACTTATATATGTCTATATTTCTGAGATGAGGTATTGTAATTATTCACACTATTTAAATTGTTCGGACTGTCGTCACGGCGTTTCGGCTATTGTACGCTCCGGACTTCTTTAGGATCTGTCTATATTTCTGAGCTGTGGTATTTTAATTATTCGCACTATTTACATTTTTTCGGACAGTTGTCCTCATCTTTGTTGCCGTTTCGGCCGTTGTAGGCTCCGGTCTTCTTCAGGTGATTCCTCAAGGACACGTGGTTCAGTGGATAAAAACGTTGATTGGAGTAATCTAGTGACTAGACCCAATACCTGGCTACGGCAGAGGTGAACAATAACTTGGAGAGTTGAATTAAAGGAAAATAACTGATACTGAGAGATCCAGAAGAGGCATGGCACGTGGAACGAGAACAGTCTACCCCGGTGGACGAAATAAAGGGTTCGTTTCGAAATTCCAATCATCTGAAGAAGGCCGGGTAGTACAACGATTGTACAATTAGCGTACAATGATTGCTATTGCGATGTTTGTTTAAAGTTGTTAAACTTAAGTATTTAATGATGGGATCGGGGAAATTCCCACGGACATTTTACAGTCGCGGAAATAGCAACGGACATATTGAGTCGTTAAATTCAGAATGATGACTGGTTAGAAAATTCAAAACATGGAAAATCTTCAATTACTGATACTTTTTAATGTCACTTTCGATGAGACATTCATTCTTATTCTTTTTTTTCTTTCAGTCTTTCTTTCTTTCTTTCTTTCTTTCTTTCTTTCTATCCAGCTTCTCACTATTATTTTTGTTCTTTCTTTTTCTTTCTTTCTTTGTTTCCTTCTTTCTTTCTTTCTTTCTTTGGAGCTTCTCACTATTATTTTTGTTCTTTCTTTTTCTTTCTTTCTTTGTTTCCTTCTTTCTTTCTTTCTTTGGAGCTTCTCACTATTATTTTTGTTCTTTCTTTTTCTTTCTTTCCTTCTTTCTTTGGAGATTCTCACTATTATTTCCTCGTTCTTTCTTTATTTTTTCTAGACTCTCACTATCGTTTACTAGTGCTTTCTTTTAGCTTATCATTTAACTTTCTTTCTTTTTTCTTTCTTTCCAGATTCTCACTATCATTTCTTCGTTCTTTCTTTATTCATTTCTTCTAGCTTTTCACTGTTATTTCCTTCTGCTTTCTTTCATTCCTTCTTTCTTTCTTTTTCTTTCTTTCTTCTAGCTTCTCACTATCATTCTGTTATGCTTTCTTTCTTTCTTTCTTCTCGCTTCTCACTATCATTCTGTTATGCTTTCTTTCTTTCTTTCTTTTTTCTTCTAGCTTCTCACTATCATTCTGTTATGCTTTCTTTCTTTCTTTCTTCTAGCGTCTCACTATCATTCTGTAATGCTTTTTTTTTCTTTCTTTCTTTCTTTCTTCTAGCTTCTCACTATCATTCTGTTATGCTTTCTTTCTTTCTTCTAGCTTCTCACTATCATTCTGTTATGCTTTCTTTCTTTCTTCTAGCTTCTCACTATCATTCTGTTATGCTTTCTTTCTTTCTTTCTTTCTTTCTTTCTTTCTTTCTTTCTTTCTTTCTTTCTTCTAGCTATCATTTCTTTGTGCTTTCTTTCTTTATTTCTTTTGTCGTTTTTATGACAGCTACGCTCACTTCACTTTGACTACATCTTATTTTTTGTATTTACATTTGTAGACATTTTCTCCCCGTCACCCTCGTGTGACCGGCTTTTTAGTTTGCTTTTCCGCAGCCATCTGCCACAGAGGCAGAAGGCCAAGTATTTACTCCGCCTTCCAGTGCCGCTCCACCCGTAGACCGCCCGTATCTCATATCTTACTTAATGGAAGTCATAACTTCATTCCTCGATGCCCCAACGCCATGATTCTAATATCCTGTCCCCTACTCTTTTTGCCACACTTTTCGCTTTGCACAACCGAAGAAAAAAGGCCACCAAAGGCAAAAGGCAAAAAGCAAAAAAAGAAAAAAGAAAGAAAAGAAAAAAGAAAGAAAAGAAAAAAGAAAGAAAAGCCCCCCCAAAAAAAAAACGAAAAAAAACAAAAGAAAATATGGCGAGAAAGAACGAAGCTGATTTTTAACTCGGTTGAAAATGGCAGTGTGCGTGTGTGTGTGTGCGCGTGTGCATGTGTGTGTGTGTGTGTGTGTGTGCGTGTCTCTGTGTCTATGTGTAGGTGTGTGTTTCTTTCTTTATTCTATTTCCTTATTTTTGTTTCTTTCATTTTAATCTTAGTTTTATATGCCGTTCTTTAGTATTTTCCTTAACACACACACACACACACAAACACACACACACATGTATATACATTACTACAGAGCTAAACTGGTATAGCACGTCAGGCTATATGACGGCTCCGTGTAGGATACAGGTTCGATTCCTGTCGGAGGACACATATTTTCTATGAAAATTTCTCGGACGTTCAGGCTGGTAAATGTTGTTAATACTGTTTATTATAAACAGAGCATTTACTTAAATATTTGATTTATATAAATAACGTATAAAAATAAAGTATACTAAAATAATCGTCGGACTTTATCCCTTTCGTAGTGTGTGACATTATATATATATATATATATATATATATATATATATAATGTTAATTATTATAGGAGATAAAAACAAAAACATGTTAAAAATCGCAACACAATGACATGTTTTTGTTTTAATCACTTATAATAAATAATATAAAGCTCTAGTCTGTATTGATCACTTTTTTGAAATAAATTGCTACGGACAATGGAATTATGCTCCATTTGTTTTTATTGCATATTTATATATATATATATATATATATATATATATATATATATATATATATATTTTACATGTTTCATTAAATAATATAGACAAGTGTTGTCTATTTATTTTATGTAAATTCTTTTCATAACGTCTGATAAGCTTAATAACATTATCATTAAACGAAGAAAGAAAATCACATTATTGATCCATATTTTTTAATCCAATGTAAGCTTTCGGCTTACATAAGCCATTATCAAAGATGTCAATTACTGTACAACATATTAAGCAATATACGAACAAGACAGTGATGATAGTCTGTTTCTGTTTACATGGATGATTTCCTAGCAACGATAAACACGTGCATATAAGACACTAGAAGCGAAAATCGCACACATGACTACGCGAGAGTGATTGGATTAATGAAACATGTATGAATTAAAATGCTGCTAAATACACACACACACACACACACACACACACACATACATATATATATATATCGAACTCAAAAAAATATTTTCCTAACCTTAATACTGCTTCTAAACACGGGTTCCTGTTCATCCTTGACAATAGCTCTTCTCCTCTCCCTGCTTATATATATATATATATATATATATATATATATATATATATATATATATATATGATTAATGCAAAAAATGTGTTACATATCTGATTGATGTTATATTCAGTACCCCAACTCTAGTGTTTCGTAGACGAAGCTTTTGTAATCGTTTGGTCCAATCGTCAGGAGGTTCCAGCAATTGAGTCATTTTTCATTCTCATTTTTCGTTATTTTTATACTAAGTCGCAAGTTATTGGTCTTTGGTTGATTTTTTTTTCTCTTTTGTGCCTGTGTACGCGTGTACTTGTGTGCGTATGTATCGAATGTCGTTGATATTTCTTCTTTTCATCACTTCCCTGTCTTCTTATACCTTTTTCTTATTCCTTTTTGTTCTTTTCTCTCTCTCTCTCTATCTATCTATTGAGAGAGAGAGATAGAGAGAGAGAGAGAGATTGACTGTGTAGACATAGGAATCAGTACTGTATTTTGATTCAATTTTACGCCTCAGTGCAATCTTGATACCTATTTCCATATCTAAATCGTGAAATGCCCTACATCCGATTACTGAGCGCTCCCCGCCCCTGCAAATATAGTAAATTACGAATTTCAAACAATATACAAGGTGCGATGGGTAAATTTTATATTTTTAATTTCGCGCATGCGCGTTGTTTGTTTTTGAATCTGTCAACTATACAGTGAGAGTGAGTTGGGCTTCGTCTTTGAGAAAAAGAACACCATGGTACAATTCACTCAATAAATTTGAAAACGGCATGCTGTACTGATTGGCATTCGCGCCATCTCAGAGTGTTTGGGTGTCAATCTGAGGACAGTGCACAGGATTCGGAAAGTGAGAGTCTAATGGTGATTACGAAGGTGTTTGGAGTGATCACTAGTGATGGAGACATTATGCCTTCATTCATCTTCCCACAGGGCCTTAGACTCAACACGGAGGCGTATATCAAGTGCCTTGTGGAGGAAGTAATGCCATAGGTCAAAAGGGTGGCTGCTGGAAGACCCTGTGTCTGGCAAAATGACTCTGCACCCTGCCACACAAGTAGGAGAACCCAGTCATAGCTGACAGACAATTTCTGCGGCCACATCACCCTTTATATCTGGCCACCTAATTCTTCAGACTGCACCTCACTTGATTATTATGTGTGGGGAGCAGTTGAGCGACAAACCAACGAAACTCCTTGTAACACCAAAAATGCCCTGAAGTCAAGGATTATGACAACATTCAGCAACTTAAATAAGAGGACCCTCCTGAATAGTTGCAGGAGATTCCGAAGTCATCTGGGGGATGTGGTTGAATATTATTGAATAAATTTATTCTTTCAAGATATTTTTGTGTAATTTTAGTAAATATATCTGTTAAATGGAGATATCAGAGTTTTTTTTTTTATATTTTGGTGTAACTTAGACGACAATTTATCCATCGCTTCCTGTATATATCTCTTAAATATAGCAAATTTTAAACATATATATATTATGAAATGGATTAAGTCCGACAATTATTTAACATATTTTATGTTTGTACGTCATTTTAATAGATACAATTTATTTAAGTAAATACTCTGATTTTTAAATAAACAGTATTAATAGCATTTACCGGCTTGAATGTTCGAGAAACTTCCTAGAAAATATGTCCTTCTCCGACAGGAGTCGGACCTGCAACCCTAATAAATACTATTATTTGATCTGATGTGCTGTTAACCATTCAGCCACAGAGAAGCTTCGGATTAGCAATTAATTATTATTAAAATAGTTACCAGCACATCAGATTAAATGATGGCTACCATTGGGGTCACAGGTTCGATATATATATATATATATATATATAATGAACTCTCCCATCGTATTCGATGAATGAAGGTCATGCAGCTCAGTTCCTAGGAACCGACAGCCCAGATAGCACACATATGATTTGATTATAGTGGTAAATGCTTTGTGCAGAACCAACCACACTTTTTGAAGGGCCAAATACAGAGATCTAGTGCACTACGTGCCACAAGGTCCCCAAACGACCCTCCGCAGATTTGAATTCAGAGTTGTCCTTCTCCTAGACCACTTACCATCCAAGGTCGGTTAGTTTTGCTATTTACACATAGCTGGAGGGAGAAGAAGAGGATTAATACCTTTTCGTTTGTTATTTGCACGTAAATGAATGTAATGGACTCAACTGAATTCGAACTCGGTTCTCCAATTCCTCAGTCCGATATATATATATATATATATATATATATATATATATATATATATATATATATATATATATATATATATATATATATAATGTGTCTTTAATAAATAAATTGTCGGACTTTGTCCATTTCTTAATATATGTCATTTGTTTACATTTGATACGCCAGAGCAGTTATGAATGTACGAGATTCATGGAAGATTGAAGTTTATAAGCAGTAAATTCGACCTTGTCTACCGAACGCTTCTTTGTGGCCGATCGGTAAGGCACGTCAGCGTAAATGACGGTTCCGTATAGGATGCAGGTTCGAATCCTGTCAAAGAACGAATATTTTCTATGAAAATTTCTCAGACATTCAGGCCGGTAAATGTTATTTAATATATATATGACAATAATGATTGCGTTTATCATGAAACAGTCTGTCGTCGGTGAGTGTTGACTTCAATGTTCACTTTTTATAATAACATACGCTCTATCTCTGATATTGAGCACTTTATCCCATAAATATAGCACACTTAATATATATATATATATATATATATATATATATATATATATATATATATATTCGGTACTTATTAGAAAGCGCTCAAAAAGTTTCCCCCACCACTTCCACAATAACACCAATACACGCAATCTACATAAAACCAAATTTAAAAAAAAATAATCAGTTTGTCTGACGATCGCTAAAGCGTGAAACTCAGGGTCACAAATTCACATCTATCCAACCAAATATATATATATGTATATATTACCCTCGTGTTTCCATGTAAAAGAAGTTTCCCGAAGATGTCAGAAAGCCTTTTATTAATGGGACAGTAGAACTGAAACCAATTATTCCTTCGTTTATACGTTCCGTCTGGAAAACATTGTTGTTAAAAGTGAATTTAGTAAATGTGTTTGTTTTAGTAAACTATACACACACGTATTTCTTTCTTTTTCCTTTTTTACTTCTTATCTTTTTTTTTAAGGCGTTCTTTTTTTTTCTTTTTCTCTCTTTTTGTCTTTCTGTAGTTTTCCATTTTAACTCGGCTTTTTCTCTTTTGATGAACTCTCCTCTATGGTACCAAGATTCGTATGAATTTAAGCGCAGTACCAGATTAGCAACAAGATCTCCTCATTTTACAGTTTCAAATGGCTAGGTGTAAACGTTCTATGCTAGCTGTTTTTCTTTTCTCGCACTTCCCATTTGTAGAATTCTCTTCTAGCTTCACGTTTTCAAGCCAAATTTGTTTGGTTTCTTTTGTTTTACGGCATATCAACCTCAATGGGTTATTTAATGCCGACAAGATTTTTATTTCTAGTAATATTTTCCCCAAAAATGTATTATTGGTAATATTTTTTTTTCAAAAAAGTATTGCTGGTATTTTTTTTTCTTCAAAAAAGTATTGCTGGCAACATTTTTTTCTTTTAAAAAAAAGTATTGCTGGTAACATTCTTTTTTCCAAAAAGTATTGCTGATAATATTTTTTTTCAAAAATGTATTGCTGGCAATATTTTTTTCTTCTAAAATGTATTGCGTGTAATATATATATATTTTTTCAAAAATGTATTGCTGGAAATATTTAATTCAAAGCTGTGTTGCTGGGAATAATTTTTTCTTCAAAAATTCATTGCTGGTAGTATTTTTACAAAAATATATTGCTTGTATCAAAACCTATCCAAACACTTTCATAGTGTTTTGACTCCAGTTTGCGGGTTAACTATTTGCCCATAGCTGGGACCCTAACAGGTGCTACCACCCAGTGTCAGGGTGAACCTGGGGACAACAGCAATTAAGAGGTGGTTCCACGCACCTCAAAAGCTCATGATCAGAGGCCTTGCTGTTGGTTGTAGTTTATCGTCTTACCTAGGACGCAGATGTTGTTTATCGTCATACCCAGGACGGGTCAAGTTTGTTCTTCAAAAATTTAAATGTAATGTCAATGGTTATCTTCTTGATTCCTGTTCTTTTATTGTTCTCGCTCCTTAATACTGTTTTTTTTTATATTGTTTCACACTCGGTAACTACCAGCGTCTTAGAGGCTTTATTGCCTTGCCCGGAGTCAAATGATTAAAAAAAAAAAATTATTTCGTTTTTCTTGATATTTTTCTTTTTTTCTTCATTCTTTCTGGCATTTATGGTTGCTTTTCCGCCTCCTCTTCATTCTTTATTTCTCTTAAACTAATTTTTTGTTTCTCTAATTCTATTTCTTTTTCACTTCTATTTTCTTTCTTTCTTTTTTCTTTCTTTCTTTTTTTCTTCTTTTGTATTTTTGTTAACTTTTGGATTGTTAATTATTTAAACCTTTAACTTTCATAATCGCCGATTAAATTATCGTCCTTTCCTCTTCTACCCCCCCCCCCGCCATTAATCACATCTGCCTATTCAGTCTTTCTCACTCACTCTTTATTTATCTTACACTAACTCTTTTTTCTCTACTTCTTCTTCTTCCTCTTTCTTTCTTTCTTTCTTTCTTTCTTTCTTTCTTTCTTTCTTAGTCCGTTCATCTATGTCTTCCTATATCTATTTATCTCTTCCAAGCTGTTCTAACTCAATTCATTTCCTGACCCTAATACCAGTTCCAAACCCGGACTCCCCACTCTACATGACAATAACCCTCTTCTGTTCACCAGCCTATTTACTCTTGCTGCATGCACCTCACGGAGCGCCGGTATCAACACATATTTACCCCATTATGGTACAGGACTGTTCTTCATCCCGATATAAAAAAAAAAAGAAGCTGGAGTCACTTACCCCAGCAATCTAACCAGCCACCCCTGGGGACCTTATGCCAATTGAAAGGGGTGATGGAGAGGAAGTGCTGGGATGCGAAGCTGTGCTTGGTGGGGCGTAAGGGAAATCAAGGTTTGAGCCTCAGTATCCGAGGGAAAAACCCTCCTCCACCAGCCTTGCTTGATTCTTGCATGTAAATAGTTGAGGATCTGTTCTTTATTACTTATAATTTGTTCTAAAAGAGAGGGAAAGAGTGGAAAGGCTAGAAGTAGGGATAGAGAGAGAGGGGGGGGTAAAGAAAGATTAAATAGAAAAATAAATACCATATATACTCGTGTATAAGTCGATATTGATTTTAGACTAAAAACTCATTACAGTGATTCCTGTATAAGTTATGGGTTTTCGGTAGTCGGGTTTAAGGTGGAAACTGTTAAATATAATGTAGCTGAAATAAAATTCGTAAATTAATTTTTTTATGGTTGTGTAAGGAATGTTAAATAATAGCAGATTATTATTTTTTTTAAAGAATTGTATTTTCTTCTGATTTCCTCATTTTGACCTTTGAGGCCAGATACAGGAAAAGAGAGGAAGTCGATTTTGATTGGTTGAAACTAGCGTCGGAATATTAGAGATAGAAAAGGATTTCAAGGAGTTAAGTTTTTACACGTTATACACAGTAGCCGTGGTTATTTCGGAGAACTTGCTCCCCAGTGGTGGGTGATAGAGCAACCCTACTGGCTAGTTAAAAATGTACACGCCGTTGTGTTTAATAAAATAGATAAGTATAAATCCTTTTTGTTGGAGTTCTCTTTCATCTCCGGACTCCAAAATAAATTTGACGCCCGGCCGTGAGTAGACGATCAACGTTATGGAATCGACCCGGTCAACCAAAAGACACGCCCCAGAACGAGGGGGTATACAACAGAAACAACGGTTTAGTTAACTCACCTTTTAATCATTCAAGGCGATAAAGCCACTAAGACGTAAATGATGATGACAGACAAGAGAGTGTAAGAAACTGAGAAAATATTATTGGAGAGAAAGGACAATAAAAAGAATAGAATTCAAAATCCAACATGAGGTCTGACGCTCCATTTAAATTTTTGAAGATCGTAGTTGACAGGAAAGCAAGAAGCTAGAAGAGATTTCCACAAGTGAGAATTGCGAGAAAAGAAACTATTAGGACAGATCTTATGATTACATTTAGCAATTTCAGTCGTAAAATGGTAGGACCTTTAGCAATGGTGAAACTTGCTTGAGTCTTCCTGTTTTAGTCATCACTAAACACTAAGAATTTAATATCAAATCAATACAGATTTCGTAACATTTTAAAGAAAACAACATTGCGCCTAATTAGCGTAATTTCCCATGTATAATACGCATTTAAAAAATAAGAAAAATCAGGGGTGCGTATTATGCACAGCTACAAAAAATCTTTTGAGTAAATGTGTCAAGTTGTACAGTAAGTAAGGTGCTCAGTAAATTTATTAGCGTTCAATAAAAACATCTTTGCTCAAAAGTCATCATCACAAGGCATGATTGGAATCAGTACGTGTCGAGCTGGAGAAAAAAATAAGGGATTTTCGAAATTCTGTTTTATGGAGTGATAAAACTAAAACTGATTTATTCAGTTTGAATCAGGTACAGTGAGTGTGGAGGAAAATAAGAGAAGCCATAAACCATAAGAGTACAATACCCTATGGTAAAACATGGGGGTCGCAAACTTAATACTTCGGGTGTGTCTTGGCGTAAATGGGACGGAACGTTTCTTTAAAATCAAAATCGGGACCGCGAAAAAAGAATACATGTATGATTCCAAATTCTCCTCAAGCAGCAAATTGAGTGAAATTAACAATAAGGTTACTGCTATTGAGGGGCCTTTCAAAAAATGCAGTAGAAATGTAATATTAATAATGCAGGGTGCTAAAGGTTAACCTTGTCTTTATGATCTTTAGCTTTGAAAATGTCCTCTCATATTGGATTTGAGTAACTGATAATTTGCAGATGACTTTATAACATTCTTATTACTTTTTATTACTAAAACCATTGTTTTCTGTGTTTGTTTCTTTATTGCATTTTTATTTGATATAGGGAGGTGGGCACTCCATCAGGTTTTCATTTGCCATCGGACAAACTGATACCTATGGTTAGTTTGCAACTGATACGGAATGATATTGTTTCTGATATGCCAAGACAATATATGCCAATAAATGTGTCAGGTTGTACGGTAAGTAAGGTGATGAGTAAATTTATTCTCAGGAGTTAGCGTTCAATAAAAACATCTTAGCTCAAAAGTCATCATCACAAGGCGTGATTGGAATTAGCACGTGTCGAGATGGAGAAAAAGATAAGAGATTTTCGAGACTCAGTTTTATGGAGCGATAAAACTAAAACTGATTTATTCTGTTTGAATCAGGTACAGTGAGTGTGGAGGAAAATAAGAGAAGGCATAAACCATAAGAGTACAATACCCTACGGTAAAACATAGGGGTCGCAAACTTAATACTCCGGGTGTGTCTTGGCGTCAATGGAACGGAACGTTTCTTTAAAATCAAAATCGGAACCACGAAAAAAATAAAAAAGAGCATCATGATATTTTAAAGTAAAATTTTAAAGATTCTGCCGTGTAATTTGTTTTCCGTTTGATGTTCACTCCGTTTAAGGTCTGAGAGCCACTCGAGGTAGAGGGTTACAGAGTAAGCGGCCCAGCTTATGGGGATATGTGGGAAAGATAATGGTTAACCCTAGACTTGAACAGGTTAACATAGTAGTAACCGAAGAAGCATCCTCGCGGGAGTCGGTCCTACAAAACAGCGGTTCATGAGAAGAAGCTGCTAGAGGGAGATTTACATCTGACAAATGAAATGAGGGTAGTTCGCTATAATGTGGAGGACATGGCGGGTCCTAGCTGTGACTAAGGAATGTTGTTCGTCTGAATACTTTCCACTGAAATAGCGAGAGAGCATCGAGAGGCTTGCGACATTTCGTCTATGGGGAAAGGGGTTGTAGGGTGAAAAGCAATTCATCACCTACAAGGACGCGGCGCTTTTGAAGTCTAAAGTGACTGGAAAGTGAAGCCGAGGCAGCACCTGCCCATATATGGCAACAGTCCTCCATTTTGGGCGTGATCTGACCTTTGTTAAGCTTAATAACATTATCATTAAACGAAGAAAGAAAATCATATGTAAACAGAAACAGACTAGCATCACATTCTTGTCCGTGTATTGCTTAATATATTGTAATGTAATTTTCATCTTTGATAATGGCTCATGTAAGAAAGCTTAGATTGATTAAAAAAATATGTATCAATATTGTGATTTTCTTTCTTCGTTTAATGATAATGTTATTAAGCTTATCACACGTTATGTAAAGAATTTACATAAAATAAATAGACAACACTTGTCTATATTATTTAATGAAACATGTATGAATGAAAAAATACTGCCTAAATACACACACAATATATATATATATATATATATATATATATATTATACACATATAATATATATATTCATTATACACACAGACATATATATATATATATATATATATATATATATATATTCATTATACACACACAGACATATATATATATATATATATATATATATATATATATATATATATATATATATATATATATAGAGAGATGTGTAGGTGTGATAGGATTATCGAGGCGGAAAATTGAATCACTAAGTCGAGTTCAAATTCCGGCCATGGACTTTGCGAGCATTTTTCATTAATGCCCTTGGGAAAGGCATATCTCTTCTTCTCCGAGGTATGAACGAAAAAGTGCGGCAGGCTGGGAATACAATCAGTCTGAATTCTAACCGCCAGCCAACACGTCATAGACCAGTGTGGCACGTTAAGAAGACCATGGGTAGGCATAAGTCCTGAGGTGAACTGAGAAAATAACTGAGTCTGTATATCTCTCCCAGGCCATGGAGATTGTCTTCAAACATGAAACAGACTGTCGACATTACTGTGTTGCCTCAGTGTTCACTTTTATATGTACATACGCTCTATCCCTGATATTGAGCACTTCTAGCCATTAATACAGCATACTTTAAAAACTATATTTTTTCATATATATATATATATATATATATATATATATATATATATAATATATATATATAAAATAGATAGATATTGGCGTGGATAAATCAAATAACTAGATATTAGCAACTGTATATACGTGCGTTAGCGTGCATGCACAGGTAAGCGAATAAATATAATTTAAGGTGTAAACAAAACAGTGTCCAATATGGTTAGACAGAACTAATAAGTATATATTAATAAATATGCATATACCTACGTTCTAAGGGCAACTAAAGTTTCGTGATTCGACCAACTCATCAGGCACGAATTATTGCAAAAATAATAAGTCGTGTCCGATGATTTGGTAGAACAACGAAACATAAGTTACACTTCGAACGTAGGCATATGTATATTTATTAATATATATATGTGTATGTACGTGTGTGTGTGTAAAATATGTATATATATATATATATATATACAATTTTTATATATATTATTTATATATTATACATGCGCAGTACTTATTGGAAAGCACTCAATATCAGTGATAGAGCTAACAAATTTAGTTGGATTGAGGTGAGTTTGTTACTCTGGTTTTCACGCTCGCAATTAGCATGAATCCCAGGGTCACAAACTCACACCAATCCAATTATATATGTGTGTGTGTGTGTGTTTTGCGTGTATGTGGTTTGAAGATTGGTGCGTTTAAGCATGAACTTGTATATATTATATTTACATACGCTCTATTTCTGATATTGGGCAATTTTACCCAAGTTTTCTTCACGAGTTTTCAGTCACTGGCTCGTTTTCGTTTCTAAGGCAGTTTTCGAAAAAATCGTTACAGTGAAAATCGTTAAAAGCACTAATAGCTATCATATATCCGAGGATGGGTTGAAAAGTTCATAGCCGGACTATGAAGGAGCGATGCTAGAGCTGTGAAATCTTGCATGCATTAATTTAATCTCTTTTTATTAATAACTCCATTGC